GGCATTGGATAGAACAGCATTTCTCAACCTGGGGGTCGGGACCCCTTGGGGTGTCACAAGGGGACGTCGGAGGGGTCGCCAAAGACCATCAGAAAACACAGTATTTTCTGTTGGTCATGGGAGTTCAGCGTGGGGTTCAGAATGGTGGGGTTCAGAATACTCTTCATTGGTGGGGTTCAGAATGCTCTTTGATTGTAGGTGAACTATAAATCCCAGCCATTACAACTCTCAAATGTCAAGGTCTATCCCCCCCCCCCCCCCCCCCCCAAAACTCCACCAGTGTTTGCATTTTGGCATATTGAGCATTCGTGCCAAGTTTGATCCATCCTTGTTTTGAGTCCACAGTGCTCTCTGGATGTAGGTGAACTACAACTCCCAAACTCAAGGTCAATGCACACCAAACCCAGTATTTTTTGTTGGTCATGGGAGAACTGTATGCCAACGTTGAACTCCCATCATTGAAGTTCAGAATGCTCTTTGACTGTAGGTGAACTATAAATCCCAGCACCTGCAACTCCCAAATGACAAAATCAGTCCCCCCAACCCCACCAGTATTCAAATTTGGGTCTATCAGGTACTTGTGCCAAATTTGGTCCAGTGAATGAAAATACATCCTGCATCTCAGATAGTTACATTACGATTCATAAAAGTAACAAAATGACAGTTGTGAAGTAGCAACAAAAATAATGTTATGATTGGGGGTCAGCACAGCACGGGGAACTGTATGAAGGGGTCACGGCATAAGGAAGGTTGGGAAACACTGTCCCAATGCATTGTCTCTCTAATTGATGGTTAGGCAGAGTGTGAACTGCGCCACCGCGCATCCAAATCCGTGGCTTGTTCTGCTTGGAAGGCGTTTTTGGAAACAGCGACCCGCATTCCAGACCGTGGCGCGCTCCCCGCACCCTCGGCCGGCGTGCAAAGCGATCCTCCCATTCTTTCCTCAAACATCTGCCACGTTATAAATATAAGCACTCCCGACTTAGAAAATCCCAAATAGTGTGTCTGCGTTCCAGCCACAAGCACAGCGACCGCCCCTCAAATTAGTCCAGAGCAGCACCGGAATAGAAATAGGAATCCCACCCACCCACGCCCGCCCGCCATCATCATAATAGCAGTCGTAGTAATAATAGTATTAATTGTATTATTAGGACATGGCCTTGTGTGTTTCCAATGCCCTGCAGACGTCTGTGCAAAGAAAACGCTTATTTCACATTAGTCGTTGGCCAAGAGAAGCGTCGTGGATTCAGTGGGAATTCAGCAGCTGAACCTGGAAAAAGGCTGGTTTGGGAGATTGCGAGAGAGCAGGTGTAATAGGGGATAAAGGTCTTTTATCACGTATGTGACAGGGGGGAACCTTTCTTTTCAATCCCACCGCTGCCACCACTGTAATACAAGATGAAGGAGGAAATTAATTACAGGTGATGAGAGAGAACGGTGTGTGAGTAATGGTAGGTTTGCTGCTGCCACCACCCCAAACTACAGTTTGAGGAATTGTCTTGTCGTTGTTCTTGAGGTAAAATGTCCCTATACACCGCTCTTCCTTTTGGCTCCCTTTCTGGTGACTGAACTGAAGAGATATCGAGGCTTACTGGGTCTAAACTTATACGATCAAACAAGGCTGAGGCAGATTGACGGTAAACTAGAGAACAGGTTTATTGAAATATTTGAAGCAGACAACTCATTACTGAGAGGTACAACGCGTAGTTTGTTTCTGAAGCACAGACTTATCAAGCAAATGGTTTCTTTAGAAGGAGTAACTTATCCTTAACATGAGCTACTTTCCTCACACTATCCTCACGTTTCTTTGCCCAGCCACCCCTGGCTGCCTTCTAGAGTATCTAGGCTTCCCCTGGACTACTCTGAAGTAACTTTAGGGAAATAACCCCACTTGTATTCTGTCCTAATACAAGGAAACAAGCCTTCACTTTGACTGCCCTAGTCAAACTACACAGAAGCCCTTGCTCTTATTATTCCCTAACAGGCTAATTCCTAGCTCACTCAGGAACTCTCTTCTCCCTGTCTGAAATCCTAATCCTTCCTCTGCTAGATCAAATCCTTCTCTCTCCTCTTCTGTCAGAAATGACAGCCTATTTACACTCTCCTTCCACTCCTCCCCTTGGGGTCTGAACCAATCAGGAGTTAGCTGACTCCTCCCCTTGCCTCTCTGCCTTACCAATATGTCAGCCATCCTGAGCTGCCTTCCCAACATGGAGGCCGACTCACTGACTCCCAGGCTGCGGCCTACGAAGAAAAGGTGTGAGTTCATTACAGCAGGGAAGCAAGACTGTGTTTGCGTCGTCAGGGTTTTTCATGGCCGGAATCACTGGGTTGCTGTGAGTTATCCGTATGGCTGCCTGGCCATGTTCTGGAAGCATTCTCTCCTGACGTTTCTCCCACATCTACAGCAGGCATCCTCAGAAGCTGTGAGCCTTGTTGGAAACGGGGCCAGTGGGGCTACCTTGGTTCAGGAATCAAGGAACACAAAAGGCACGGCAGGCCAACTCAGCCAGAGAAGACGGCCGTAGCGGAGCACTTGATGAACCAGCCTGGACACCGCAGACTTCTTATTTCTTTTGTAATAAGCCCCGAGTTTTATTGCAACGTGGCCAATGTTTTTGAGCTCAAAAACAGCGTTCCATTTAAGGCTCTTTTAATACAGAAACTGCCATTATGAGTGATGTTTTATAAACATCTTTAGCGTTGCAAGACTCGCATGGTAAACAGATAAGTTTCAACTTCTGTTCAGTATTTTATTTATTCATTTCGGTTCCTTCTACCGCGCCCTTCTCACCCCGAAGGGGACTCAGGGGGCTTACAAAGGCACAATTCAGTGCCGGCATCACATAACAGTAGTATAAAACAACATAAAAGCAATTAACAGTTAGCAACAGTTCCTGCATTACAACAATAAAATCAATAAAACCAATACAAGCCCAATTACTCCTCATTGACAGTCAGCGTTCGCTATCTCATAGTCCAAATTCCATTTTCACATTTTCAGTCGTCAGTCCTAGTCGTTTGATTGTCCTTATCTAGTTGTCAGATTGCCCTACGGCCTGGTCCCACAACCACGTCTTTGCTTTTCTCCTGAAGGAGAGGAGGGATGTTGATGCCCTAATTTCTCCCGGGAGTGAGTTCCACAGGTGAGGGGCCATCACCGAGAAGGCCCTGCTCCTCGTCCCCACTAGTCTCACTTGTGATAGCGGTGGGGTCGAGAGCAGGACCTCCCCAGATGATCTCAAACTCTGGGGTGGGACGTAGAGGGAGATGCATTCGGACAGATACACTGGACCAGAACCGTACAGGGTTTTGTAGGTCAAAACCAGCACCTTGAATTGTGCTCGGAATTGGATCGGCAGCCAGTGGAGCTGACACAGCAGGGGGTGGTGTGCTCCCTGTATGTCGCCCCGGTGAGCAGTCTGGCTGCCACTCGCTGGACCAGTTGAAGTCTCCGAACAGTCTTCAAGGGCAACCCCACGTAGAGTGCGTTGCAGTAGTCTATTTGGGATGTAACAAGAGCATGGACCACTGTGGCCAGATCAGACTTCCCAATGGAATGCCTTCCATCATATTTTTAGCCAAAACTGATGATGTGGGCATTTCTTGAAAACGTGTACAATGAATGTGATAGTTGGTGTGGGTAGTCTAGCCAAGCAACAAGACGTTTAAGCTAATTGGTTGCCTTTTAAATATTGTCCAATGGTAAGACACCACACGTGATTATTGGAGAAGGCAGGAAGGCCCGACCGCTCGGACAGTCCCCGTGCCAGGCGACACCGGGAAGGCATTGAAATGCACAAGTCAAGCAGCACATGAGGAATATCAATAGAAAAGGAGGAAACCATGAAAATGGACAAAATCCAAACAAACTCCAAAATCAGGACAGGAAATAAAGAGCAACACTCAGAAAACAGGAGAATTTCAGACAGGAAACAGTCAGGGCCAGCTAACACCTCCCAAAAGAGGATTCCCCCAGGCAGGAAGCAGCCAGGCTTTGAAGCTGCAAGGCCGTTCGATGCTAATCAAGGTGGCCAGTGGCAGCATTCGCGCTTGCCTCCAGCAGACGAGAGTTCTTTCTCCCTCCCACCCCGGATATCACTTGCCTAGTTTCCAACAGACCTCACAACTCCTGAGGATGCCTGCCGTAGGAGTGGGCAAAAGATCAGGAGAGAATGCTTCTGGAACAGGGCCAGGCAGCCCAGAAAACTCTCAGCAGCCCAAAATTGTTTTCATGCTTTGCTTATGGAATGGACTGGGTCTCGTTTTCTGCACCACGGCGCCACCTGGTGTTCCCAACAGAGTCTGCGCCTTATTAGGAGGAAGAACGGCCAGCGAAGGGCAGAAAAGCTGCTGAGAAATTCCCCAAACATCAGTAGATGTGTGAATCCTTCCGAAACTTGGGGAGAATGATGCTCTCTCATCTTGTGTTATTGTGTAGTAAATCGAAGGAAATCACACTTGTCGTTTATTTTTTAAAAATGTTGTTTATCGAAACATTTAAAAATTCCTCAAAAATCAGGAGATGTGCGAATCCTTCCGAAACTTGGGAAGAATGATGCCCTCTCATCTTGTGTTATTGTGTATTAAATTGAAGGAGATCGCACTTGTTGTTTATTTTTAAAAAATGTTGTTTATCGAAACATTTAGGAATTCCCCAAAAATCAGGAGATGTGCGAGTCTCTCTGAAACTTTCTGGGCTCACAGTGGTAGACGTGTTCTTTCGTTGTAGCAAGTTTCATGCCAATAGCTCTGACAACAAGGGAGAAATCAGCCCCGGAAGATAAGTAAATGGGCACAATTACTTAACAAAAAAGTAACCAAAAAGTAGTTAACTCCTAATAGTTAGGGTACGACCCCATCATACTTATTGGCGCAAGCCGGGGAAGCGCCTGCTCTCTTCATGCACAGAATCACAGATCTAACCCCCCCGAATGTCCTACCAACGCCCGTATTGTTTTCTGTGTCGAGTAATGATGGTTCCCTTTCCTTCTTCCCAGAAACCGGACATGAATGGCATCGGGAAGCCTCCGTTCCTCAGGTGAGATGATGATAATAATAATAATAATAATAATAATAATAATAACTTTATTTTTATACCCCTCTCTGCATTCATACCCAGGCAGCCTGAATGGCCGATTGCAAACTTGTGGTGTGTGTGTGTGTATATATATATACACACACACACACACACACACACACACACACACACATACATATATATATTGTGCCGTCACACCCAAACGCCTTATGATGTGCTACTCTCTTTACTGGTTCATAGAAGGAGATGCGATCGCGGAGATAGGCAGGGAGGGATGGGGCCTGTCTTATTTCCCTTGGAAGGGCGTTCCAGAGGCGGGGGGCCACCACCGAGAAGGCCTTCTCTCTCGTCCCCACCAACCATGCTTGAGACAGTAGTGGCACCGAGAGGGGGGCCTCCCCGGAGGATCTTAGAGCTCATGCCGGTTCATAGAAGGAGATGCGATCGCGGAGATAGGCGGGGAGGGATGGGGCCTGTCTTATTTCCCTTGGAAGGGCGTTCCAGAGGCGGAGGGCCACCACCGAGAAGGCCCTCTCTCTTGTCCTCACCAACCGTGCTTGAGACGGTAGTGGGACCGAGAGGGGGGCCTCCCCGGAAGATCTTAGAGCTCGCACCGGTTCATAGAAGGAGATGCAATCGCAGAGATAGGCGGGGCCCAAACCATTTAGGGCTTTATAGGTCATGACCTGCACCTTGAATTTCGCTCAGCAACTTATCGGCAGCGAATGAAACTGTTTGAATAGGGGTGTTGTATGCTCCCTATCGTTTCCTCTGATGAGGAGATATTGGAAAAATAGATATTTATTGATTGATTTATGCATAAAAATCATATGTACTTTAAATACATAGAATATTCAGGCTCTCTCTGTGTGTGTAAGAAACCCAAGCTGACAAGCAGGCTCCATCCCAGGCACAGCCGAGAGGAAGGGGGCATGTGATCTCCACATTCCAAGAGAGAGACAAGAAGCCACAGAGGCTGGTACGGAAGGCCTAGTGTCTTCTAAGTGAGTCAGAAGCCCCTTGGCATCTCAGGGAGGGCCCCTTCATGGAGGAGTGTAAGACAGGCTTTTTCGTATGTTGGAGGGGGAACCTGATATTCTTATGATGCTCAGATGACATAGGGATGAGGATGATTGTGTGTTGTAGCATGTTCTTTGTTTGCTTGAAGCTGGAAAACTATAAAAGCCACAGTCCGCGCCTATTTCATTTGCTCTGGTGTTTTTTGGGAGTTGACTCCTCACCAGGCCCCAGCTGGTAAATAAAATCCGTGCTTCCAAATCTCCAGGACCTCTCTTTGTGTCTCCTTTCCTCAAAACCTATTCCCTGCCATTCCACCTCCAGTAAGGAACCTGGCTGCCGCCCGCTATTATATTATATCATATCATATATTATACGAAGCTCTCCTTGTGGGAGTTGGAGCCCAAAGCAGCAGGAAGGAGGGATGGGGGCGGGAGGGGGACCGGGGTCGGGCCAGGACGGCTGCCTCGGGCGCCGGTCAGTGTGTTCTCTTGTCCCGGACGGTCATTCCAACGCATTTTTTCCCCGCAGTGGCGAAAACCCCTTTGCGACGGTGAAGCTCCGCCCAACCGTCACCAATGACCGGTCGGCCCCGATCCTCCGATGAGCGAGACGCCCCTCCTTGTAAATCGCGAGACGTCGTGGGCAACATGGATCCGTGTTCTGCCTGGCCTTTGGGAAAGTGTATTTAAGTGCAACGAGTGTGTACAGTAGAAAGCAAAGGGTTTCCTCGCCCTCAAGCATGGCTGCTTCCTCCGTTTGCTAATTATTATTATTATTGATGATGATGATGATGATGCTGAAACCCCTTGATTGGGTCTATGGGTACGTTCCAATTATTTAATAAAGAGGCGTGTAGAGATTTTTAGAGCGGTGCCATGGAAGAAGAATTGCCTTAATAGATGTGTGTATATTATACATAGGACACAACGGGGGGCAAAGAACCCGTTTCGTGACGGCGATGAATGTCTGCAGCTACGGCCGGAGTAAATATTTATAATCGGAGGGTGTCATTATATTCTGTAACATAATAATATTGGTTTTTTTGTTGACACGGTCTGCAATACATCCAAGCACAACAGAACTCGCGGCGTATTGTTTTGGGGACGATTCTATTGAATGCTAATCTGCCGAGATGAATTGTTGTGAACAGAAACAACCGCAATGTGTGGTTGAGAGGCACGCTCATAATTACACTGATTGCAATTGTTTTTAAATGTGTGCATTCTGAGGTTTTATCCGGCGGGACGCCTTCTCCTCCTCGGCCAGGAAAGAGCGTCTCGTCGCCTTTTAGGAATTGATCTTGCGAGTGTTTTGTATTGAACGAGAATCTACTGCTGCTGCATCTGCGTCGTTTCTTCCGCTTTGCTTTTCCTGTGACTCCGGCAGAGAATCGGTACGCACTGTCGCCCGTTCCGAGGACGACACTCAAGAGTTTTACTAAAATCAATAAAAATGGGATTAAATTGTTGTTTTGGTGCCAACTTTCAGGCGGATTGTACCTTCTGTTGGGGTTTTGGAATGTATTTCTGCTCCTATGCATTTCCTTCACTGGAGGAACCTGCAGGTAAAGGTTCCTCCTAATTTGTGATAGCCCCATGGTCGTCATGGCGGCCATGAAATCCTGAGCTGCACCAGTCAAGGAGGTCTCAGCATGAATGTTTAAGTCTCCCAGCACAACCAGGAGCTGGGAGACCAAGGCCAAATTGGAGACCACCTCTGCTAGCTCACACAGGGAGACTGCTGGGTCGCGGGGTGGGCGGTACACCAGCAGAAACCCCACACTGTCACGGTTCCCCACCCTCAGGTGGACACACTCAAACCCAGATGCTTGCGGAACAGAGCATCTGACCACGGCGATGGATTGCCGATAGACAACTGCGACCCCTCCTCCCCGCCCCCCCAGCCTGGCCTGCTGATGCACTCCGAAGCCCGGTGGGCACAGCTGAGTGAGATTTACTCCCCCCAGCTCGTCCAACCAGGTCTCGGTAATGCAAGCCAGATCCGCCCCCCCATCCAGGATCAAGTCCTGAATGGCAGCAGTCTTACCATTGACGGATCTGGCATTAATCAGCAAGACCTTAAGGCTGAGGGGACTGCCATGGGGCCTACCACTTCCTACCTTCTCCAGGGTCGCAAGAACTCTGTTGTGCTTCTCCCTGGGGCGTTGGTGACCAGCACATCTCCTCCCCCACACGACCTGAATGATGCCCCCCTCCTCTGCCCCCCCCCCCACATGGTCGGAATCTGTGGCTAGTCAACTTTCAGAAGAAGTAAGGCTGGAGTATAATCTCCCTTGGGTTTCAGGTAGGGATGCTTCCGATGACATACTGGACAGAGAGACATCAAGGGAGCTGAGTGGACTAAACGGGAAGTGTTCTTGGGCTGGAAAGTGTGGCCGATTGTGTAGGGACAACTGGGGCAGATGGGGTTTCGAATTGAAACAGGCCAGGAGGGGAGGCCCTAAACGGGGAGCTATCTGTGCAATTCTCACAGGGACCTGATGGAACAAGGCGAGAAGGTACCCCTGTGTCAATGAGGGGGCGGATATGAGGGTCCACAACTTCCCTTCTGATGGAAATGCCCCATTTCTTTAGGCAGGATCGCATTGCCAGTAGCTCGCCGAGCCATTACTCTGGCCCGGCTCAGTTCTATTGTGTTTTGGTGTATTGTTTATTGTTTTGTTGTTTAATATTGCTTTAATTGTTTTTAATTTGCGGTTTTGTATTGTTGTATTGTGTATTGAGGCCTTGGCCTCTTGTAAGCCGCATTGTGTCCTTCAGGAGATGCTAGCGGGGTACAAATAAAGTTATAATAATAATAATAATAATTAATAATTAATAATAATAAAGGTAAAGGTTTTCCCCTGACATTAAGTCCGGTCGTGACCGACTCTGGGACTCTGGCACTCACCTCCATTTGTAAGTTGAAGAGCCGGCGTTGTCCGTAGACGTCTCCCAAGGTCACGTGGCCACTGGCAGGACTGCATGGAGCAGTAACTGGGAACCTGAGTTCGAGTTAATCTCTCTCGGGGTTGCTGAGAGTTTTCTGAATATTTCTGCTGATATTTTTATGAATATTTAAATGAATATTTTAGACTGCTTTTAAGAATATTTCAAGGTATATTTTCTAACTATTTCTGCAGATATTTTTATGATTATTTTTGTGAATATTTTATTAATATTTTTGTGATTTTTTTTATATTTTTGTGAATATTTTATGAATACTTGTATGATTATTTTGTGACTATTTCAACAAGTACTTTTATGCTTGTTTTTGTAAACATCATAATTATTTTTGTGAATATATATGATTATTTTTGTGATTTTTGTGAATATTTTATATTTTCTAATTATTTCTGCAGATATTTTTATGATTATTTTTGTGAATATATTATGATTATTTTTGTGATTTTTAATATTTTTGTGAATATTTTTGATTATTTTATGAATACTTTTATGATTATTTTTGTGAATATTTCAACAAGTACTTTTATGCTTGTTTTTGTAAACATTTTTATAATTATTTTTGTGAATATTTATTATTTCTGTTATTGTTTCTACATATTTTATGAATATTTTAATGAGTATTTTTAGTTTACTTTAAAGAATATTTTAATGTATATTTCATGAATATTTCTGATTTTTATGAATATTTAAATGAATATTTTAGACTACTTTTAAGAATATTTCAAGATATATTTTCTAATTATTTTTGCAGATGTTTTTATGATTATTTTTCTGAATATTTATATTTTTGTGAATATTTTTGATTATTTTATGAATACTTGTATGATTATTTTTGTGACTATTTCAACAAGTGTATTGTCGAAGGCTTTCATGGCTGGAATCACTAGGTTCTTGTGGGTTTTTTTCGGGCTATAGAGCCATGTTCTAGAGGCATTCTCTCCTGACGTTTCGCCTGCATCTATGGCAAGCATCCTCAGAGGTTGAGAGGTTCAACAAGTACTTTTATGCTTGTTTTTGTAAACATTTTCATAATTATTTTTGTGAATATTTTTGATTATTTTTGTTATTATTTCTACATATATTTTATGAATATTTTAACGAGTATTCTTAGTTTACTTTAAATAATATTTTTATGACTATTTCTGGGGATGGTTTGCTGTGAGTTTTCTGGGCTGTCTGGCCAACGTGTCCCAGCAGCATTCTCTCCTGACATTTCGCTTGCATCCGTGGCCAATGGTCTCTTCAGAGGTTTTTAGCAAACAGAGGATGCCTCCAGACAACAGAGGACAGGCCACCTTTATGCCGATACTCTCACTGATTGACTTTGCAGCTTCATGGCTTCTCAACACTAATCAAACTTGCTAATTGCAACAGACAAGGGTTCCTTCTCCCATCCTGGACATTATTCCACAGGTATGTATGTGTGTATATATACATACACGCACACGCACACTCCACTTGCTTCACTGCCAACAGACCTCTGAAGATGCCATTAGTCACGGATGCAGGGGAAACATCAGGAGAGAATGCTACGGGAACATGGCCACACAGCCCAGAAAACTCACAGCAACTCGTCTTCAGAAATATTCATAGAAATATCTGCAGACATATTCGTAAAATATAAAATAACATATTCTTAAAAGCAATCTAAAAGTATTCATTAAAATATTAAAACACCTGTGTAAATATTCATTAAAATATTAGCATAAACTTTCACAAAAGTAATGTTAGAAATATTCATGAAAAATCAGTGCGGAAATATTCACAAAAATAATAATATAATAAAAATATAATATAATATAAATAAAAATATTAAATATTAAATAATAAAATATAAATATAATAAAAATAATAAAATACTATACAAAAATATACACGAACATGGCCGTATAGCCTGAAAAAACCTCACAAGAAGCTATAAAAAAAACCCACCAAAAACGAGTAATAAAATAATCACCAAAACGCTTACAAAAACCAACGCAATGGCGTGTGACTCCGTCCGCGAAGGCAGAGAGCACCGGGAATCAAGGCGCTGGCGTTCCCTGGAGAGCGAAAGAAAGAGCGGAAGAGAGAGAGAGAGAGAGAGAGAGATTTCACCCCAAGTGTGAACTTGCCAAAAAGCACTTTTATTTAAATTTTCCCAAAAAGGTGAAGTGGAGACGCAATGCAAAGAGCGGTGCCGGTCTGGCACGAAAGATGCCAAGAAATCGGGTGTCCAGGTGCCGGGAAGCGAGGGAGGCTGACGGTACGGGTACAAAATCGGCTCCGGAGCATAAACATGATTGGATTGTATGTGAGACTGACATTAGAAAAAGGAACTACAAGAGTGGCCGCCGCTGGCTCGGCTTCCGGCCGACTGACCGCCGGACTGCCTGCCTGCCTGCGGCTCTCGGCCATCAATCCCTTGAGCGAGTGTCCGTGGATCCCTTTAGCCAAACGTCGCGCCGCAGTTCGGACATCGCCGCTGCCTCAGCGCCAAGCAGAAGAGGATCCCGATGGGGAAGAACACGATGGCGCACAGCACGCCCAGGCAGGTGAAGGTGTCCTCCAGCACGCCCACCCTGCCAGGGAGGAGAGAAGAGGAGAGGGGCATAATCAGGGAGGGCATCTGCACAGGGCGGATCACTCTGGACCGTGCCCTGGCCTACAAGAAGCACTGCCTGAACATCAAGCAAAAAGGGGGTGCCAGGCATGTGCCTTTCACCTCAAGAACAGAGAAGCATCCCGAGCTCTGAGGATGATCACCTGGGAAGGAAGGAATCCCACGGGAGCCTTGCAGCATTGCACCCAAGTACCTGGGAGGAGTCACTCTGGACCGTGCTCTGACCTACAAGAGGCATTGCCTGAACATCAAGCAAAAAGGGGGTGCTAGAAACAATATCATATGAAAGCTGACTGGCACAACCTGGGGATCACAACCAGACACAGTGAAGACATCTGCCCTTGCGCTGTGCTACTCTGCTGTTGAGTACGCATGCCCAGTGTGGAACACATCCCACCACGCTAACACAGTGGATGTGGCTCTTAATGAGGCATGCCGCATTATCACGGGGTGTCTGCGCCCTACACCACGGGAGAAGTTACATTGCTTAGCCGGTATCGCCCCACCTGACATCCACCAGGAAGTAGCAACCAATAGTGACAGGACCAAGGCAGAGACATCTCCAGCTCATCCCCTGTTTGGGTATCAGCCAGCATGACAACAACTTAAATCAAGGCATAGTTTTCTAAGATCTAGAAAGACACTCGCTGGAACACCCCAGCAAGCGAGAGTCCAAAAGTGGCAGGCCCAAACCCAGAACCTCAATCAGTGAAAGACTCCCCCCTGGGCACACAGAACACTGGGCAACTTGGAAGGCGCTGAACAGACTGCGCTCTGGCACCATGAGATGCAGAGCCAACCTTCAGAAATGGGGCCACAAAGTGGAGTCCTCGACATGCGAGTGCGGAGAAGAGCAAACCACTGACCACCTGCTGCAATGCAACCTGAGCCCTGACACATGATGCACAAGGGA